TTAATTCATAATTCCGTCGCATCGACGGTCGTCGACGATCGGGACGGCTTTTGAGCACAAATACACAACATACACGGGCTCATTGGATCAAAGGTGATCGCGATTAAAAAATTCTCCCGCTCGGAGAAAAGTCCCGTCGCCTTTGATCCAAACCGCGAGCCGAAAGGGTCTGGTGCAGACAGTAGGCGAGACGTGCCGAGGATCATTGCTGAAAAACAGTCGATATCGCATGTGACGACAGCTGTCACGTGAACATTCCATTCCTGTCCTGTGTGTAAAACGTTCGTATATATATATATATATATTATACATATGTGACACATACAGAGCATACACAGGGTGGTCCGCGCGATCGTGCCGATCTTCCGACTCCGGCGACGACTTCGTTACTGTTAAAAGGATCGGAGGCGAGATGAAAAGAGAAAATTGTATTCGTTTTGTTCGAGATATCTTGCGTATGATATTGCGATGCAAAAACACATGTTAGACTGCGTGTTTTTTAATCATATCGCTGCACAAATAGATGCGTCAATCGTGACATGTAATATAAACTGCATGCAAGCGTGTAATTTCAATTTTCCTTCGATCTTTCCGTTGTCCTCCGCGCTTCAACGAAGCTGCAATTACGCCGCGCGAAGCGAGCGCGTTCGTGCACGTCACCCTGTATACACGCACATAGATAATGTGGCACGTATTGCAAGAGGCGAGGCCGCGGGATGGATGCGCATGTCGGTAGAACGGAGTCGTGTGTCCCGATCGTTCGTGTAGGCATACGTGTGACAGTATATATCGTGGAGTGAAATAATGTTTCAGCGACGTTTTTCTCGAATTTCCGCCGAGAAGTGGAACAGCTGTCCGATGGTGAATGAGAAGCGTCTCGAGGGATAGTCGGCAGACGAGTCGATGCGTTTCCATCGTCGGAAAAGATGGAACTACATCGAGAACATCTTTGGGACGATGCTAAAAGCTAGTCGTACAAACTGTCGACTGTGTCGAATTAGAATGCAAAGATGTTAAGTTGAACAAATTTCACTGCACATAAATGTATCGTGGAATCCGTTGTTCCTGAAATATTTACGATTCAAGATTTTCCATGGCTTGTTTGAGCGTTTGAGAGAATTTGGCAAGTATAATCTACGTTTTGTTGCCGAAAATGTAAATTTGGAAAAAATCAAGCCGATGTCAAATGTAATTGGACAATTTTTCGTTAACGTCGTCCCGGTGGTGCCGCGATCAATATCGAGACGTCGTGAATAAAACAGTTTGATGTAAATATTGGATAGACTGTTCTTGATATTCTCGTAAAGAGTGATTTTGTGACCTAGTTGTAGTAGAGTTGTGCTTGACAGGTGCTTGATAGGTGCCACCTGTATGAGTAATGAAATTGTTATTGACTTATATAAAGTAGAGAACTAGCTTGGAACTAGCAGCTTGTTGTTCTACCTGCGATTAACAGATTTCCTGCCATCCGAGCGATGACGAAGCGCTGTCATCGAAGTAGAGTAACTGTACTTAAGTATATCAAGTATATCAATTATATGTTATACGTGTGGCGCGCGTGAATGCGGACGAGTGTGTTTCCTGTGAATGGCGGTGTTTCGGCTCGTGTTGCTGTTCAATGTAAAAAATGGTTAGCAGGAAATATTATACAAGAGATCACTTTTCCATCGAGGAATATTTGTTACGCGTAGCGTACGGCCTCGTCGAAAGACGCGCTGTTGATAATTTCATTCAATCTTCCTCACTTCATCTTTCTTCACGATTGACTTATTTGTATTTTATCGGGCTGCATTTCGTATAAAATATTAATTAAAGATTAATCATTCAGATACACTTTTTTTGAAGCTCCAATGATCTTCAGATTGCTATCTAAGAGTCTTCAATTCTGATTTTTAAACCCGAACGTGTCAAAAGTACATTCAGGCTTCGAAAATCAATCTATCGCCGGAAGACGCGTATACCGTTATCGGAATGTTACATTGATACGAGGTGTTTCGAGTGCCCGCACGTGCGTGCTCTGTGCCGACCTGTGCAGCACGAAGCGGCTGCGAACCTGCCGAGATTAGAATCATTACGATACACGGGGGCGGCGCTACAGCCGGATAGAATCTTTACGATCGCCGTAAAGCTCGTTCTCTTTCTCACTTCCGCCCGATTTCTGGCTCTGCGAGTGTGTATCCGGTGTTACTTATCTCGCGATGCACTTGCCAGCCGTACAAATTGCCCGCTACGGACACCTTTCTGCACGTTCTTAAACGGTTAATATCGCGGCGATCGTCAAACGGCATTCCTGCGAGTCCCCTACAACTGTTATAGCGCATCAAGGACGAAAGTATCTATTTGTCAGTTCGACAAGAAGCAAAAACGCCAAGGACGGATAAAGCATCTCCGACTTGACTCTCGTGTCGCTAAAATTTCATTTCGCTTCGCTCGAAGTTAATAAAATAAATTGCAAATAAAATTGTGGAATATCGTCGACTTTAAACTCGAATACTCTATATTGCCGTTCTACGCAGCTCGATTTGTTACAGAGCGGAAGCGCGCGTCCTTGGTGGCTACAATTACCTCGTTTAGCCTGACTCTCGCTCGCGTGTCAAGCTGCGTGTCAAAATGTACGCCCACGCTCTCAGTCGACGATGCAAACGGCAACGATTTGATGCGACGGCGGTGTGGCGACGGTGTTGCTATCCGCGCCGCCGTACAATGCCGGGTTCTTT